AGCAAGTCTACAAACGACCCACATAATATCGGACCCAAACAAAATGAACAACGCATCACTGCAATGTTTACAGCAAACATAATCATGACCGATTCTTATTTGAATACTGCTTGACACATGTGATGATACAACATACAATTTGTAAATATGTTTCTAGCCTTTCAATTAACTTGTATATTTATTAATCTTGATGTGTTTTAATAAGGAAGACACACTATAAATAAACCCATGGGTGTAGGTGTGCTGTTTATATGTTTTCAATGCACGACCCCACGAGGCCCCTCGGTAAGTCGCGACCCTCGCGGTTTTTGCTTGGATCCTGACATCCGCGGCTTAGCGAGAGGCCACTACTATTGTGAATAGTGACGTGTATTTTTTATAATTCACGCAGTTTAGCTCCACACGTTTGGCAATGTCAAAAGATGCACATATTCTGGTCATGTTTGTAATAGGCCAACAGTCACGTGACTAAACAGGTTGCACTGCGTTGCCAGTGTCAGTTATAGTGCACACTATAGGACATATATACTTACCTGTCATAAAAGTCTAGAATTCTTGGATGTTTAAAGTCGCCGACGTCCAAATAGTTCTGAGCATCTGGTTTCACTAAACATGCCTACCATAACATATATAAACATGTATATAATTTGACCAGATATTCAAGACGGTAAAGTTAGACTCTGGGGGGAATGCCTTTAATGATTTACTGGGAATATTATGTGTGAAATAATAGATGCCACGAATTTGCGCGAATTGCGGGAAAACATTACTAAAGGTTAAATCGTTTAATAATGTTCAGTTTGTCAAAATATTGGCGTCTGGGTGGGTGGGTGGGGTTGTTTTATAGGCCCAATGTGACAAAACACGTGACAAAATAATTTCACCAATTTGAAATAACGATTTTTCATTTGGTATGATAAATTTGGTTTATATTAGTCAAAAATGACATACCTTTAAATGATCTGGGTGAACATAATTCTGCTTCCCACCTGCATGATCGGAAGCCTCCTCCATCTGTAATCAAATGAAACAACCAATCATGTAAAATTAGATGGTGTCTATTATATGATATAGGGTAACGTGCATATGACATCCGGGGATAAACAGAATATCAAATTCGTGACCCTACAAATTCAGATTTATCAGACATGTGTACATGTAGTAACATCCATTTATTTCGAGCATTTGACGAGGAGCAAAATGAAAAATCAGGATTATTACACCTGTTTATTAAATCTGATATTAAAGTCGATTTTTACAGAAACCATGACTGATTTTTACTTTTTAATAACACATCAGGACGATGTGTATCACAAAACGCCTTTAATATATTGCTTACCGCTGATTTGTCAAGAGTGCCTCTGATCACCAGCGCGCATGCGTGATTGGGATTCAGCAGGAGTGCTGCGTCCACATCGCCGAGTGCAAGTTTACGTTCGCCCCTTGTGCTGTGAACCAATGCGCGGATACAGAACCCATCCTGTTAGCAAACACATAACATCATAGGTATTGTATATTTAATATTATAATGATTATCACTGATCAGAATCCGATCTATAATTACTTATTATATTGTTAAGAAATATGATAAGAGGGACTCACAGGGTTCTTGCTGTCTAACACAACTGTCTTCTCTGCGTCTTTTAATGAACTTTTCAATTCACCTTTCATGATAATAAAAAAAATATATATATAATACGTATTTTCTCTTTGGTGAAGGAGTTTCAAATTTATATAGTGTAAGCGTCTGTGTCAATTTCATTTGAAATTTCATATTATATATGTAACATATTATGAAAAAGTGCGTCCAGATGTCATACAAATATACATGTTACCAGGAAGTAATGCAAGAAGTGTAGTAGTCTCAAGAATTTTGTCGTCGTTCTATTTTACACATTGTTACGAGAGAATAAATTATGAACACTAGTAGATAATATTTGGTAATCATTGTCCTAAGTAAATAGTTATTCATGGTCGTAGGAAGCTAGTAATAAATATGACTTACCGATTTTTGCGTTACCGAACGCCCTTTTGGCAAATACTGGGGTACTCAGACAAGAGTTGGAATTGCACTTTGCCGCACATCCGTTCTGTTAAGTGAATTGAAGTTGATACTTATATCACAAACACAGTACTGATATATAAATTGTGAATATAAATAAACAATATCAATAATATGTATCAATATTATGCGTGTTCTGCCAAGTGTGACTGTAATAAAGAGCCACAATGCAACGCGCGTTAGAATAAACAAACAACTTGTATAACACGCGCCGTGACCGTGTCATAGAACCCATTTTCAACGCGTCGCAACGACTATGTAAATTGACGACTTATAAATATGCTCGGGTAAATGTGGTCTTTTCCGAAGCGAGTGTCACTTTATACTTGGTATCCACAATTAGCAATATGCAATATGAGAGTCGTCTGTTTGACAGGTTTAATATGTAATGTGTACTCACCTTTGGTATAGATATTGCATCGATTGATTTTGTATAGTGGTGTACAGCTCGTTTGTGACGATCAAGACGTTGAAAAGCCAGACCTAGATGATAATGTGTCTCGTACATCTACAATAGAGACTATACAGACTGAACACAGAGCAGTGCTAGTTCTCATACACACACCGTATTTGCTCTATTAGTAACGCATTATTAGTAAGTCTATCGTCAAAATAAGTCCAATATTCAATAAATGTGCTGGTTTATTTTAGCTTATAATAGAGCAAAAACGCCATTATTAGGATTTCACTGTGAACATAATGGAGCCACCTAATAGAAAGCTGATCATGGTGAATGGTATATAGATAAAGACATCTAATATTTAATATTGTTCTCTGATTCTGTATATTGATGATTATGGTGAACTGAAACACACAATTAAGTATTCATTAAAGGGGAGCAGAGGTGTGGCTTGTGACACTCTGTACATGAAATTTGAGATCTATGAATGAATTCTGTCAATAAAAATAACTTGTATGTGCTGCGAAATGCCTTAAATATTGGGTATAAAACGGGCTGTGAAGCAGATGACAAACTTCCGCTTTGCCTGGCGTTATTTCGCCTCTAGAGGGCCAGTCAAATGATGTCATCAGTGAACACTGATAATTGAACCCATCGGCGAGGTGTTGTGTTACGAATGCCATAACGATTCATGTTAAGTTTCTCGAAATCCCAAATAAAAAAATCACGTCGTTGGTTGCGGGAAATCGGCAGAAGAACTAACCTGAAAGTGAAGACACGTACAGCGTTCTGGCTATAGTAAACAGTGAGTAAATATATATTGTACGAGTTAAAAACTGAATTAGAAATACGCTAATATCACTTGAACTACAGTACTCATTTCGCCCAACTTCCCACTTTTAATCGACCGCTTATCGCTTAATTTCCGACCGGAAAACGACTGCATTTTTATCGTAATTTTTCTCTCGTTGTCTCATTGAAAACACCGATCGGTCGCCCAAACACTGGTCACTGGCACAGGAGTGATCGAAATAGTGGTTTTAAGTGGTACAGTTTGGGGATACAACGGGTACTAACTATTTTTAAATTCTGAACTACTCTTCAAATCTATACCACATTGTATCGTTCGCAGAGGAAACTTCACCTGTGTCCAATATTAAATAACTGAGTTTGCGTAATTATTATGAAAGCGATATATTACAATGTTGAATTTTTTAGAGCCAGTACAATATTGTAAACAACTTGAAATTTGCGTAATTAGAAAAGCAGCGCACTAAGTAAACGACCTTAAAATATACAAGTTTGCGTACAGCACCGTCAGAACTAATAACAATTTTACAAGATCGACGCGCGGAGCGTGAAAGAAAACGATTGCTAAGGTAACGCGCCTGTTCAGTGCGTGACTTAGGG